TATTATTATTATTATATGAGTCATTTTGAAAAAAATGTCGCATTTTTTTAAATTTGTGATTTCAGACCTAATTCCTTGGATACCGTTACAAAATATTGCTTAGAATTGCCTTTGATTATGTTCATGAACAAGGTAAAACGTTCCTTGACCTTAAAATCAAGTTTTCAAAACTGTCCAAGTCTAGAAATTTTACAGCTCTTTTGTAAATCTTGCTCAGTTGGCAAAAATGACAAGTTCCGCAACACGTATATATGTTTTATAAAACATGCTTAGGGATAAAAGACATGGCTCCAGGGATTAAATATTTCACAGTTATACAGAGAATTGGACAGCATTACCGAAGCAAAAAAAAAAAATCCTGGTGCCCGTCCTTGTCTTGTATTTGTTAGTTAACTCTTTATCTTCATCTTTTGTTTAGCCCTATTCAAAGTTCTCTCCTGTTACACAGCTGAACAGATAAACGGTCCCTAGATATATATTTATTTTATTTGAGATTTTGCGAGTGAAGACTCCCTTCCTGTCCCTTTGTTATACTTGAGACAGCGGAGCTTATGCAATGCACGATTGAAAGATACAGAGCCAAGTTCAACCCAACATAGTGAAAATGGTATTTGAGCATAAATGTCCCTCCTGTTATCGGGGACTATAATGACATATTATACAGAAATCGATACACTCTCCTTTTGTCAAGAAGTCTGCTAAGGTCACATTTCAATGGTAAGACAATCCATAACATGAGCTCTACCCAGTTAGTGGTCGTCAGGGTAATGATGTACAGAATTCCCTCCTGTTTCTTTCCCTCCTATTACCCGGGTTTTGGTAAAAGGAGAGAATAAAAAAAAGTAACAGGAGAGAAAGGAATACCACAGTTTGGGTTAGAATGTGAGGTACTACCTGGGGCGGACTGGCCTATGAGCATTTGGGCAATGCCCCCTGGGCCGGTGCCGAAGGAACGAAGTGGGCCGGTGCCGGAGGGAAAAAGTTGGCCGGTGCTGAAAGGACAAAGTGGGCCGCTTGGTTAATTAAAATTATCTTCGGATTGCTGTGTCTGTTTCTGTGTTCTAACTAGTAACATAATAATAGTATGGAGGCTTAGAAACATGTTGGCTTTGCTTGTTTTACTAGGCCTTAGTGGGCCGGTACGGATGACATATGCCGGGCCGGTTTTAAGACCCAGTCCGCCCCTGGGTACTACCGTACTCCCCTCTTAATAGAGTAAATGAAAGAGGTTAAGACTAAAGGCATGTTTGCGTTTTTTCAAAAGAACACCTGAATTGTAATTTTTATCTCTGAGTAATGGGACGGAATTGAGAGTAACAGGAGAGAATACAAGATAGCAAGAAGGATGGGTACGTGTCAAATGGCTAAACTGACCAAAGTTCGGGTTCAAAATGGGTCATTTAAGAACAGACAAAACAGAATAGTTATTACATGAAAGATGTGTCTGTACTTTTTCAACAAACTTCTGTATTGTGATTCTATAATTTAGGTAACAGGATGGAAATGAGAGCAATAGCGAGGGAACAACAGAGTAAAATGAAATACAAAACCTTCCATTTTTCCGACATCGATGAAGATAATAATAATGCAACCTACTTTTGTTCCACCAAAGTCTAGAACCTTCTATAAAGATAAATGGTATCGAAGAGTTCTAAGTAATCGTGATATTGCGGGTGTAAGGGTTCGAGCCGCAGCTTGGTCCAACGTTGTGTCCTTGAGAAAGACTATTAACACGAATTTCCCATTTGGCTTCGTCCTTTCGAAGAGGACGTTAATCGTTAAACTCGGAGGTCCCACCCCTGAAATAATCTTATAAGGGCGTTAAACCTGTACCATCTAACAATTTTAACCCAAAAGTTCTTAAAATGTAGGTCTGGATGTAGATCTTTTATTTAGTTGCAGATTTAGAAGTGTATTTCGTGTTGTCGCAGAGACGTAGACGTAGACTGAAGTAAGAAATAAGAATCTTCTTCCAAGAAAATTTGTCAAAAAATGAAATCAGCTAAGCTTAGTTGACTTCAGCACTATGCTACTTATGCTAGATCTAGATTGATTGTATGAAGGGCAGGCCCTATTGATAGTTGATTTCTCAAACAGGACTTTTTTAAAATTAATATTTGCTTTTTTCACCTCTGACAAAGCTGACTCCTGCTGAAAAAAGTAATAAAGGAGAGATAGAGGCTGACGAAACAAGAACCCAGTGAAGACGCTGCACGACATGCAGTATGAAAAGCAGAACTGCATCAAAGACAAAGAACAAAGGGAAAGGAAAACGGTCGTTTGTATGATTTCAACTACACCCAATGAATAACGTCTCGACAGAATATGTTACTTTCCTTTAACTTTCCCACCCATTCTTCAGTTATTCCTTTAGATGATATCACTAATAGTGTTTCAGTCTTGGTGAGTTTTATTGTTAATACCTAATAACAGTCTTTTATGTTTCCTCCTGTTACCCACTTTCTCTCCTGTTACCCACTTTTCCCTCCTGTTACCGCCTCTCTTTAAGTTCATTAAAAAAATCTTGAACTTTGTTTTTTAAAAGTAAGTGTGGGATTAGCTTCACCTTACTACAGCTAAAGATTCATATGATCTCAATGTGTTTAATCTTAGAGTGAGAATCACAAACTGATACTCTAAAATTTTCACTCTGGTTTAAATTTGGCACTTTAATCCGAAATAATTTTGCGTGGATGGTAAAACTAAAGTGTTTTATTTTTTATTTTATTTTTTTAATTATTTGTCTTATGAATAGACTAAGTTTCACCAACTTATATTGC